GGTGATCAAGAAGGCCCAGGCCTAGGTCAGTGGCCTACATTGCACTTCGTGGGTGCGCTGGCCTACCATCTCCCCAAGTGGGAGAGTGGACGTCATTATTTGTTGCTGAGGGGGTACGCGCACGCGCGGCCCCCGCCCAATTCTAATTTTGAAAATGTTTACTTTTTTCTTGTGATGATCTTAAGCCCAACCCTATATATATCGGGCGAATGAGGTCCGGTTTGTGGTAGTTTAGTAGACTCGACTTATTTGGGCCAGGATGTTGTGGCTTCAGTGAGCCACAATTCAGCCAGCGAGACCCAATATTTGGGCCTTACCTTAGAATTGGGATATTTGGGTCAGGATAATAAGTCTGGACCACAAATAATTAGATGACCCAATATATGGGTACTACACGATACTTGGGATTTTTGCCAGGATAATAAGTTTGAGCTACAAAGTCAAATTCATTGTGGGCATTGGCTTTTTGGGCCAGAATAATAAGTCCAGACTGCACAGTGAAATTCATTGGGTGCTTTTTTGGCCGGGATAATAAGTCTGGAATGCAAAGTTCAATTCATTGCAATCTCAAAAAAGAATTCAGAAAATAGATCATAACCTTTTTGGGCTCTTGCTCCGCAATCCAATAAAATATAAGAGATGTACATACTGGCTTAGTTGCTCATGCAACGGTCCTAAGAAATTATGTCCAAAATCTTTATATTCTGAGTAGTATTTGTGCTTTTCTTCTCTGGTTCTCTCTCTCTTGGAGATGAGGTTTTAAGCTAGTGAAGAACCTGTTGGCGTGATGCACTTGTCAATTTAACTCTGCTACTTATGCCATAATAATAATAATAATAATAATAATATTTTGGGAAGTCTTCATTTATTAAGGCTCAATATTTAGGTGTCTTCGAGTTAGCACAAGTATTAATTTCGCGATGCATTTTGTTATTTTTATTTGAATTTTTGCTATGCCCTACTAAAGATAAGTCTCTAGTGGACATGCATTGCCTATTGAAACCGAGACTCACAAAACCAAAGGAAAAGGGCACACGAACATGTTTGGAAAAAAAAAAGATTTCAAAAGTCAATTATATCTAGCACAATCCATTCATTTATTAACAAAAGAAAAGATCCTTTTTTGATAGGGGACAATGCCCTACAGCAAACGGCAAGATACAAATATTAGAGTCACCTATGCACAGGACAAATGAAATGTGGTGCTGACACTGAAATAATTAACAGTTTAATCCTAATTTTTACAGTTTATTCTTTTACTTTCCACTCTTTTTCATATCACCATGGTCTGCTTGACTTCGCTCTATTAGAGAATATGATCAAGGTTATGTCACATATTGAACGGATGAAGATACTGTTTGGCAATGGACGGGTAACTAATTGAGTTTTATTAAAATGTGATTTTCTACAACTAAGCCACTTCAAATTGTTTAGTAAATGGTAACTATTTAACTTTAACCTCAAAATTTTTACCTTAAACAGTTATTCACAGAAATACAATTGAAATTTTTCTTGGCTCCCGACAACGAAAGAATTATGGCGGAGTAAAGTCCTCCTCCTCATCTCCCTAACTTCTGTTTTCTCCCATCTAACCATCTAGTTATTATTTATAAAACTATAAAGAAATTAAAGAAATGCCATGATATTTTTCATAGTTCAAATACAAGTCAAAGACGGGGCCTTTGGGTTGGGGTCCCCAGGGTATATTGTGTATATGTCATTTTTCGAATATTGGTTATATATCATTTTCCTCCTTCCCTTTCTGGGCTCTCACACTCTCCTTCATTATTAGAGTGGATCAAGAAAAGGATTGGAGACAGGACCCCCAACTCAAAAGGGCCATGTCAATGATTAGGCCCGCTTGAATAGTCCATCCGCTGTGGGGTGAGGATTTATATAGATAAAAGTCATCATAGCCATCGTCGTGTCTTCATCCTTCTCTTTGTCATCGTCCAAATTAAGGACCATCGCTCATCTTTCTCCAATTGGTTTTCAATTTGACTCCTGTTTCAAGGACTTTTCTACAAATTTATCAAAGGGCATATATAGAACTTATTTGTATTTCAAGAAATGAACCTTCGTCTAAGTAACAAAGAGTTATTCTACCAAAAGTTTGGTAGGATGCTTGACTCATGACGAGGTAGGGTCAACTCTTGTTAAATTTTGGTTTGGTTCTCTGACAAAAAGCGAGAGTATCTTAAAGCTCCTCCGGCTATACCAGAATCCTGAAACTATGATAACCAATCTGTATAATTTTATATTCTGACACGTCTCTTGAGAATGAGATATCATCTCACAGGTCCAAATCGAGCTGTTTCACTTTTCTTTTCTTATGTGTCCGTGCTAGAATTTGATCGATGTTATATTATAAATCTTCTTGCACTGCATCATAATTTCGGTCTTGGACGTCGGAAAACTAAGGTGGTCCATTGAAGGGTACAAAAAGCATGGCAACTTTTAGAGGAGGAGGAGGGAGGAGGGAGGGGGGGGGGGGGGGGAGCAAGGCAACGTTAGGTGGCGCTTTTCGAAAGAGATGCTCAAACACAACGCAACGCAACTCCCTTCACGCTTCATGTGATCGTTGCAAAACTTCCACGTGAGTTTCCGTTGGTACCATCTGCTCCTTAATCATTACACAAACAGCCCATTAATTCTCTATTTACTCGAAAGATAATGCCATAATTTGATTTGATGTTTTGACTCTCGAACGCCACTCATCGTGGATTCATGATTGAAGCCATCTAACAGGGACAAAGAATTCCGCACACCAAATGATTTTTCCATTCGTATGATTCCTATTTGAGTAGTCACTTTGCTCCGTAATTGACGAGTTATCTATTGGTCATATCCTTTTATTAAGTAAACAGTCGTTATATCATTTTCTCCTTCAACAAACTGTATCCTCATATTTCAAATTCTAGTTCTTGTTGCTACATCAATTATTAGAAGAAATTTGCAAAATAGACATATTTTACTAAATATTTAGCAAAACAGACCGTTTTGCTAAATATTTAGCAAAATAGACCTCTTTTCGGGCAACAGGCCAAAAAGAGGTCGATTTTGCAAAACAGATCGTTCGAAACATACGGGACTAGTAGTCCCGTATGATTTAATGGGGGATTAAATCATACGGGATTATTAGTCTCGTATGTTTCGAATGGTCTGTTTAGCAAAATCGACATCTTTTTGGCATGTTGGCAAAAAAAAGGTCTATTTTGCTAAATATTTAGCAAATAGGTCTGTTTTGTAAAATATTTAGCAAAATAGGTCTATTTTGCAAAATTTTCCCAATTATTATCATCTTGTTTCTCTTGGTACCTCAATTCCTTTACCAAAAATTCCCTTTGTCACTGTACCAAGGTACTTGCTTAAAACCAACAAAGTCATTAAAAAAAACACTTAAATATATAGGACCCAAGAAACAAAAACAAAACCATAAGTAGTTTTGCTAAAACAAAGCATTAAGTGATTAGCAATTCCGGTCCCATTCACGAGCATTTGAAGCAGACTGCAGAACGGTCCAAAATGAAAACACAAGAATCATTCAATTTTCAAGGGCTACATCCCAACAAACAACTTGCCACTGCAGTTTCAGATAAGCACCTACGACAAATATTCTCTCTCCCCTCTCCAAATATTATGTTTTTAGATTCCACTCGTATCCTTTTTAGCATTCAGAGTTCACACAAGGAAATCAGTAGAATCCAACGAACAAACAAAATACTAGCAAAGACAAGGACGAGGTCTTCAAGACTTAAATTTAAAGTAGTGATAAAGGTAGAGAATTATTATTTGACATCTTGCCACGCCTCTGCAGGTTTAGCGTCCATTTTCATGGATCAAATCTTGACAATCTTACACTTTTGTATTTTGTCTAAAATTCGTGTTAAATGCGTCTTAATTTATTGTGATTTGGACCAAGGTTTTTTAAACGCCTGTTAAAAAATTGAAGCTTTTTCACCTAGCGGCAATCCCTTCCCAAACCCGCTTTGAATGCGTGGCCGGTGAGAGTCATGACTCTAGTTTGACAAATAACTAGGCTAGGACTTAAGTTGATTTCGTTCGTCGAGCCGTGTTTTGTCTTTAAACCATTTTAGAGTTAGTTCACCTCCTCCGGTCTAAAACTGAACCAGTTCAGTCTAAAACTGATTATGAGGGAGAGTTGCCCACCTTACCCCAAAACTCCAAATTTATCAAGAATATTCAAGCCGGCCTGTGATATTATATTCGTGTTAAATCGAGCTGTTTTACTTTCCTTTCCTTAAATTCTATTTTGATTGTGGGTAAATTCTATTTTGATTGTGGGTGTGCTAGTATATGATGGATGTTATATTATAAATCTTCTTGCACCGCATCATAATTTCGGTCAAAATTATGGTCCATCGAAGGGTAGAAAAAGCATGGTAACTTTTAAAAAAGGGACAACGTTGGATGGCGTTTTGGAAAGAGATACTCAACTCAACGCAACACAACTCCTTCAAGCTTCATGAGATTGTTGCAAAACTTCCACGGGAGTTTCCGTTGGTACTATCTGCTCCTTAATTATTACACAAACAGCCCATTAATTCTCTATTTACTCAAAAGATAATGTCATACTTTGATTTGATGTTTTGACTATTGAACGCCACTCATCGTGAATCAAATCTTGACAATTTTACATTATTGTATTTTGTCTAAAATTCTTGTTAAATGTGTCTTTATTGTGATTTGGACCAAGGTTAGACACCTGTTAAAAAATTAAAGTTTTTTACCTAGCGGCAATCACTTCCCAAACCCGTTTTAAATGCGTGGCTGATGAGAGTCATGACTCTAGTTTGACAAATAACTAGACTAGGACTTAAAGTTGATTTCGTTCGTCGAGCCGGGTTTTGGTTTTAAACCATTTTAGAGTTGGTTCACCTCCTCCGGTCTAAAACTGAACCAGTTCGGTCTAAAACTGATTATGGGGGAGAGTTGCCCACCTTACCCAAAAACTCCAAATTTATCAAGAATATTCAAGCCGGCCTGTGACATTATATTCTAATACATACCACTTCGCTCTTTAGACAAGAAGAGGAGGAGGAGGAGGAGAAGAGAAGGATGGCTCCAACTTCATTTCTCCCTCATCTCCTCTTCATTCTAGTCATCTCCTCAATAAACTCATCTTTCTCATTGCCCACCTTCTTCCCAAGGGCACCACAGCAATCACTAGCCCAATCCTCAACCAAAACCACCAACAAAAATTCCAAGCTCCCTTACACTGCTCATTACTTCCCTCAGCAACTAGACCACTTCACTTTCAAGCCCAACTCATACAAAATCTTCTACCAAAAGTACCTCATCAACTCAACCTTTTGGGATCAAGGCCCAACCCGCGCCGCACCAATCTTCGTCTACACGGGCAACGAAGGCGATATCGAATGGTTTGCATCCAATACAGGGTTCATGATGGACATAGCTCCAAAATTTCGAGCTCTTCTAGTCTTCATTGAGGTATATATATATATAAAAGTATTGCATGTGCAATTACTGTGGTATTAATTAGTTAATTTTCTATAGTTTTCCTTTTGTTTTAGCATAGGTTTTATGGGGAGTCATTGCCATTTGGCAAGGATTCTCACAAGTCCGCAGAGAAGCTGGGGTACTTGAGCTCGTCGCAGGCTCTGGCTGATTACGCAGTGCTTATTAGGAGTCTGAAGCAGAATTTGTCTGCAGAGGCTTCTCCTGTTGTCGTCTTTGGTGGCTCTTATGGAGGAAGTAAGTTTCTTTTATGTACTTCTAATAGTTCTTTAGATACTTCTTGGTGCACCAGCTATCCAGTTTATGGTCCTATTGCTTTAACCTTGAAATCAATTTTTTATGATTAGTTTAATCTTGAAATCAATTTCATATGGTTAGTTTACGGTCATATCGCTTTGTGTCTTATTGTTAGGATAGGGTATGATTCGGATGGACTGTCATGTGAAAAATTCTTTGTCATACTCAGAATTGGAATCTAAATTATCGTAGTTTTGATCTTTCTAATACAACCTTCTTGCATTTTCCTCTGTCCACAGTGTTGGCTGCATGGTTCAGGATGAAATATCCTCATATAGCAATTGGGGCCTTGGCATCATCAGCGCCTATCTTGCAGTTTGATGACATAACTCCATGGAGTAGCTTCTATGATGCTGTGTCTCAAGACTATAAGGTCTGAGATTAAACTTACTGTTTATTATTATATGTACCTTGTTTCACTATAAAGGACCTTTGCCCTGTAGTTTGTTCATTAACTGTAACTTTCTGCAGTTAAGTCACTTAACTTTATGATATACCGTATAAAACATGCAAGTATCCAGCTACAACTTTAAAAAAATAAAATTTTAAAAAAAAATCTACAGTACAAACAGTTGAAAACCGAACAGTCCTAAAAATGCTAACATGACTACAACATGGGACTATAATCTATTACAAGTGGATTGAATACGAGCCTGCTGGAGTCAGTTTCTAGTACTCAAATTGCACCATTTATTTATCGCCATATTTATATTATTTTGTCCTATAAATTTTCGACGTATTTACGTTGGTAGGAGGAGAGCAACAATTGTTACGAGGTGATTAAAGGGAGCTGGGATGAACTTATGGCAGTTGCAGAACAAAAGGATGGGCTACTGAAGCTGAGCAAAACCTTCAAGACTTGCAAGTAAAGTTTAATGAACTGCTACATCTTAAAATTTAGCATATACCTCTGATTCTGTTCTTTAAACTTTAGCATATACCTCTTCAGTTTTCTTGTCCTTGACGAAGTGTTTCTTTTTATTAGCATTCTCAAGTGGCGTTAATGACTAACTACTGAACAGACTACAGAGACCAAGGACCGCAACAACTTAATTGGACAGACAGTTTATAGTTTCATTAGGCTGGTTTTTGAATATTTTCGAACAAAATCTGAATGGTAGATCAACCAAATTTTGAACGGTAAAATTTTATATTTTCCCTAAAATATAAAATTTTGATATGTAATACTACATTCATTTCAAGAGTCTTTTAACCAAGCACCATCACTATGATAATGATGTGCATTTGATAAGAAGATGCATTTTCAATAGATAAACTAGCAAACGGATGCATATATGAAACATGAACGTATGTATCTATGTATTTTTGGAGGGTATCTATAGGTACGTATTTCTGATTTATCGGGTTAGCTCAAGGTCCGCCTTGAGTTCAACCATCTCCATTAACACTCCTATTTTCTGTTAGAGGTCTGTCTTAATCTTAGGCTTGCTTTTGTATGTGACTATGTATTCGTCTCAAAATCAGTTTGCAGAAAGAAAAAGTCGGAATTACATCTAGTGGAATATATCAGTGTACTATTCTCCTTAGTAACAAATGAAATGAAGAAAAAGGATTCTTGTACAAACACAGAATCAGAATAAGGAACATTTTATAGTAGATGTAAATAGTCGTATACTTTTTATTATCTTAAGAAGAAGACCTTACGGCATTTGCAATCGAGATGAAATTTCAAAGAGAAGAAACAGAAAAACCAATCGTGTTAAGCCAAAATTGCACAACAATTATGTAACCCTCTTTTCTAAAAGAGCCCTCCTCGTTAACTATAAGAAATTTTTTTGCCTCGCCATTGTAACAAAACAAAAGGAGAGACATATTAAGTAGTTGCAGAAAAGTAATGAAGGCGACAAATCACGCCTAATGCAGTTAAGTGGTAGCAGAGAAATTTGGTAATACTGAGACGAATTTTTACCAAAATTAAAATCCATAGCACAACATATAGCTGCTAAGAAATTGATTCTCTGAGCTAAAAAAATTATGTATGCTCTATAGCACATTTTGTTATCAATTCGGAATAATCAAGTGAAAAAATTAAAGATAATTTCTATGTAACAGGAGTCTTCACTCAGTGTATTCCGTTCGTGATTGGCTATCGACAGCATTTACATATACAGCAATGGTTGATTACCCTACCAAAGCAGATTTCATGGCGCCTTTGCCAGCATACCCTATCAAAGAGGTACTCATTCTTGTAATGGTATTCCAAAAAAGGGAAAAAAATTATAATAACAAATTTTGGATGCACGAGTCGTGATAACAAAATATGAAATGAAATTGTGGCTAATATATTGCTGCTTTTGATATGAAGATGTGCAAGATTATTGATGGGTTTCCGGCAGGGACTAACAAGCTCACCAAAGTCTTTTCAGCGGCGAGCCTTTATTACAACTATTCTGGTACTCACCAATGCTTTGACTTAGAAAATGGAACCGATGCTCATGGACTTGACGGTTGGGATTGGCAGGTAAAAATACTGTACCTGCGAATATCCAGCATACTCATGTCAGTACTGTCTCATCAATCGCAGAATTGTCTGAATAAATAAAATAAGTAACAACGAGAAAAAAAAATGATGAAGGGATCAGAAATCATTTTCTTGTACTAACATCCAATGAAAAAAATTTAGGCATGCACAGAGATGGTCATGCCGATGACAGTCTCGAACAAAAGCATGTTCCCACCGTCGACTTACAACTCTAAAGATTTTGAAGAAGAATGCGTGCAAAAGTATGGAGTTCGACCAAGACCCCATTGGATCACCACAGAGTTTGGTGGCTATGTACGTGACTTCTTATTTCATTGTATTTTGAGCAATTCATCATTCACAGACCTCAAAGATAAAAGAAAGTACACTTCACATGATATCACATATTAATCGAGACGGCTTGATTCTTGGGAAACAGAAAATCAAACAGGTTCTCAAGCGTTATGGAAGCAACATCATATTCTCCAATGGGATGAGGGATCCCTGGAGCAGAGGAGGGTAAGATTTGAAAATGTCACCTTAATCTCTGGAATCAATCATAGTTCTTTCACGCGCCAAAAAAAGTTACTGTCATTCTGCTGGCCGCTGATGTTTTTCTTGGATTTGAATGCAGAGTTTTGGAGAAAATATCATCCAGCATCACCGCGCTCGTGACAGAAGAAGGCAAGTAGTAGCCTTTTATTTTCTCATAACGCCTAAAAATGACAACACTCATACTGACTCGGAACCTCTGAGATCAAAATGCACCAATTATAACACATTCTATTTTGATCCCTCCAGCTGTTTTAATGGATTTTGAAGTACGCTCAGCAATCCACCAACTTGTTTGTTTACAGAGTTTTCCTGCATTTTTCAGGGGCTCACCATTTGGACTTTAGATCTGCCACGAAAGAAGACCCGAAATGGCTTGTTGAACAAAGGAAACAGGAAATGGAGATAATCCAAAGCTGGATAGATCAATATCATGCGGACCTCAAAGATTCATCAATGAATCAATGACGTGAGGGAGCATGAGATTCTAGTAAATGATCATATAGAAAATAAAGTAAACAAGGTTGTTCTACTCGCATAAGTTACGAGGTAGCTCAGCTTCATTTAGAAATTTTTTACTTCAAGAAGGAACGAGAGAACGAAAAAAGGATGAAAGGAAGAGGGCCATGCATGTTCTGATAATTGTACCAAACATTATCATTCTGAAAGTTTCAATTTCAAACATACAAAATTGCAACAATACCCATAAACTCTCTTGCAAGAACACCAATATTACCCAGTTTTCTGGCAATTCAAAGACACCGACAGATAAGAACAACTATGTAACTAAACTTACAAAAGCAGGATAAATGTGATTAAATCGACACCTGATTTATTTGAACGTGCAAGTACTTGCATCTATAAGGCTCAAGCATGGGTTTTCATTTTTCAAGTAGTTTTGACTTATGCAAGATTAATGAAACTAAGTAATGTTCAGTCTAGCAAGCATTTTCTAATATCTCTTCAATGGTTTTCTTTTCTTTTCTTTTCTTTATAAAGCACTGGCCCGCAAGGGACTTCGTTAAAAAAAAATATACAATAGTACCTATAGTTTGAAAATTAACCTTGTTTTGGAAACCAATTTCTTAGAGCAAAACCCCCAGTACGACAATAAATTCATATAAGTAACTATGCCATGGATCAATTAAGTGAGTATATGGAGAATGTTCTGACCAGTAATTGCGGGGAGCGACATATTTCATCGATTAAATTCTTTAAATTGTCATACAGTTCAAAGGATTCAACCTACAGTAAAAATGGTGAACATGATATGATTTCAGTTTTGCTGATGACATTTATTCCTTTCGGAAGTAATCGAAAGAGAGATACAACATATCTTTGTAAGAACCGTATGCACTAAGCTGTAAAAGTTACATTGTGGGCATACCGTGAAAAATGAGAGAAAGTCCAAAACATGTTCGATTCATAATTGCCTGAGAACACTAGAGTTCTACTTCTCCTGCAAACACAGTCAAGCGATCAACTTTATTTTGTGTAAAGATCAAATCTCACAGAACACACAAGAATCTAGCACGTCAAAATACAAATCAAAGATTGCACACAATTAATAGGTCTTGGGTCAGTTCTCAAAGGTGGTTCAGCTCCCCATCAGCTGGCAGAAACCGTCAACATTGACCTTTAATGTTGGTTGGATTAGGATCTAATGTCACGCCTCCGAAAATGGCAGTAGAAAATAATATTGTTTATATATAGTGACTCCGAACTTCTATTAATTTATGAAAATGATATGTCATATCAAGTCCCAGACTTGTAACACATGCGTGAAGTGAAGCTTATCTAGTACATGGATCGCCACTGTCGCGCACCCCATATCTATCTTCTATTTCTGTTTCAAGGCATGACATCTAATGTAGAGGATTGAAGATGAGGAATCTTCAAAGAAGAGGCGGCAGTTTATGGCTTATTTCTACTGGTATTCAGCAAGATCTTTGAATTCCAATTTCATCGCCATAGACGAGGTCACGGGTTTTCTAAAATTAACCCAAAACATCATCTAATGTCAGTAGAAATATAATAATGTATCGGTACAAACAGCAAGTAACAATTCAATAAAATGGAAGTCGTGACAAACTCTTCAGGAATATCTACTTAGAGTTCAGCTGTTACCTGAAATAACATTTCAGAAAACAGCGAGAATCAAGTCCCGATCATATCAAATAAATATCCAGTTTAGGAAAAAAGATCTTTCATGGCTGACTTCAAGAAAAAAAAACAAGCTAAGATAACTTATTACATACAATTTATACTAATCCTCAAATTAGAAGGCGGTTGTTTACTTCAATGTTCGTTAAAATTCCAACAACTCTCTACAGTCTATACATCACTCCAGCAGCTCTCAAGAACAAATATGACATCCAAATAGGAACTACTCCTAAGAAACAAGGTGTTTCACATGCAAGCTCCAAGGGAATAAAGATCGTTGCATCCAATATCACCATCGATGAAGGTAAAATCATCGCACTCCTGAAAAGAAGAGGATATGAAAATGAGACTTCAGCAAAGATAGCATAGTGTCGTACAAAATTATTGAAAAGAATTATCCATCAAGTTATCACAAGATAAACAATCTTCTGAAAGTACTTTTACCCCCATCTGAAAAATTATGCATGATTGGCTGATGATGCACAAAACAAACTTTGACGATGGTCACAATCATACGAACATTGATGTGCTAAAGAATTCAAATGTTCTGAAGAATTCAATAATTCAATCATTGCTAATTTGCTGCCAGTGATCATATCTTTTCACAATGATGTTTTTATCATGCTTTGCTTTGTGCCCTGTGCAAAGATTAGTAATTTCCTTTTTTTCCTTTGCCCTTTTTCTGTCTCCCTTTCTTTTTCACACATCATTACTCTCTTTGAAAATGTGTGAAATTGAATCGGTTCCCTGAGACTTTTGATTCTTCCTGATTCAATTAATATCAATATGAACTGGTGAAGATAACAAGTTGCGCATGGTTTTCTTCTAAAGAAAGTGGATGAAGTATGACTGGTATATCTAGACACTATGTAGATTGGACAAAGATAATAGCATCATTTCAAATAAATATTTATGGAAAGACTTCTATTGATAAATAATGACAAGCTTCCATTATTCAATGAACTGGCTTATTTTAGTAAGAGGGAAGTCAAGAATATAAAAAAAGTCAACCCAAACCAGGAACTTCAGTAACCAAGCAAAAGCAACTCAAGGGGAACAATAAAGAGAACAATGATGCACACATTTTTAGAGGTGTGATTGGATTGAAATAAAAACAAATTGGCTAGACAAATCAACAAGATGTGCATGTTTTCTTCAAAAGATAGCGGATGAAATATGACTGGTTTATCTAGAAACCATGTAAACTGGACAAACTTAATAGCATCATTTCAAGCAAATATTTACGGAAAGACATCTATTGACAAATAACGACAAGCATCTGTTATTCAATGAACTGGCTTATTTTAGTAAGGCATTAAAGCCAATAGTGACCAAGCAAAAGCAAAATTAAGGATAACAATAAAGAGAACAATGATGCACGCATGTTGTTAGTGGTGACCGCATTGAAATAAAAACACATTGGCTAGACTATAATGCACTTAAACAATAAAACAACAGATCGGCAAGCATACTAAATGAAGGAAACAAAAGTAATAGACAGACAATTTGCTTAGATGAAAGCTTTCGCGAGTGAGCCAAGGGTGCTTGTGCTTCTCTTCAGGGCCTTGGAAACACAAATTCACACGCTTAAACAAGTGAATAGCTGAAGATAACAGGATTCGTAAGAAAAATGCTCTGCAGCAAATTTAACCAAAAGATAGCAGTAATTATGAAAAGAATGATGCTGAGATGCAAACTAGATTAACATAGGATGCTGCACAAAGAGGTAGCTACAGGCAAAATATGATGTTTATTAACACCAGGGGGAAAAAGCAACAGAAAGATTCATACTAAAGAACAAATAAGTTTACCGGTTTAATCATGGCATTGGTGACAAGATCATCAAGGCCAAAACCACCAGAATTGAACCCGCCAGGCAGCTTCATGCCCTCGAATAAGGGTTCATCCTTATAATGTAACTGACCACCAACGGCAGTCTTATCAGACTTCGAATCCAGTGGAAGCATTGGAGCGCGAAAATTTGCTTGGCTAATGATAGGGACATCAATTTTATCATTAGAAAATCCATTTCCCAAATTCTGATTACCTTTATTTTGATCAGTTATACGGATGCCGGATGACGAAGTATTTGACAAAGAACTGTATATTTGATTGGGATTTTGAATATGACCTCGTCTTGGGTCCTCCCATTTGAGGCTAGAATTGCCTACGCTTCTGAAATTTAATAAATTAGCATCCCCATTGACACCCGTCGCTGTGACCAATGTACCAGCTTGATTGTGTACATTAGCTAGCCTATCATTTTGCATCATGGAATCACGAGCATTGCTTCCCAAATTTGAAACTATGGGAGATAAATTCTCTCTGATATTACCAGAAGAAAGATCGTTATGACTAAAGGGAAGACTTGTTGCGAAAGTGTTGCCACTATATGACGTTGATGGAATAGCACCTTGCCAACTCTCATTACATCTGCTAAGATCAGCGGAATGTGAAGAATCGCCAATACCAATCTCAAATGGGTCTGAGCTTAATGGTGATGGTATATGAGGGATTTTTGCTGCTGAATTGGTAAAAGAGTTGGAATGACCAATTGCAACTCCACTGCCGGAAAAACCACCAAGTAAACTATTGCTTGATTCTTGCATTGCCTTTGGTTGTTGCACTATAGGCCCAATACATTGAAGCTTTGATACGTCATTAATGGGGTTGTTTGTGTTGTTGAGGGAGAACCCATGAAGTCCAAATCCATTAAAACTGTTCATTCTTGGGACAGCGCCATTTGGTTGAAAAGATGAGCGATTAGGAAGCGGTCTAGATTCGACGAGGGAATTGAAGTTTGGATATCCATTCAATGAGCCCAGAGGTAGGTAGGAGGTGTCTCTGCCCCGTAATGCAGCAACCATGTTAGCTTGTTGGTTGGCAACGGCACTAAGCCTTTTCAAGTAGAGCCTGTACTTCTGTATTGAAACATACAAAGTTCAGCTTGATAGAAAAGAGGCATAGAATAAGCCAAAGCTTGTATAGGTGAAAATAAAACCTGCTATATTAGCTCGATTAGGTACTTTAGCTATTTTCTTGGGTTGTTTGTTAGGTTGCAGTGGCCAGAGATCAGAGATGGACTAAGCTAAGCAAAAAGATGACATGCTTGAAATTAATATACTACAACTGATTTACAAGAAAGATCGAGAGTAAGCAATCTGATACTATCTATCTATTTATCTATGTACTACACTAATAAAGCAAAAATTGGACACTAGCCAAATAACTGGCTATGTGATTTTTCATTTTATTTATTATCAATCATCCTTTCTTTTTCCCCTAGGCATTCATTTTTCTTCTCTATACTCTCTCCATCTCAAATTGATATGAATCTTTACAATTTTTCCAATTTTAATCATTCACTTATAACTGTTTTTATGAGCATAATAACATTATAATACTTAATCCTGCGCATCACACAGGTAAAAGTTACTACAGATTATTTTTTAAATATCCTACTAGTGTTCATAGCAAGTACTAGAGGCTAATAATCAAGAGGTGCTAGATAATAAGTAAAAGAGTGAACAGAATCATGCCTGAAGATGACTTGCAACATTTTCTCTAGTGAGCTTCTCAACATTCATAAGGTCAAGTATCCTCTTAGGTACAGCTTCTGCATCAGAAATAAAGCAAAACAAACATCAGTATAAACTGAGAGAATGAAAGGAAAAAAAAAAGGCCCTTGAAAATAAGGAGATATATTTCTTACTATCAATTCCCAATTGGTTAACAGCAGCAACAAATTTACGATGTAGATCAACTGACCAAACAACCCTGGGCTTTTTCTGGGTGGAAGAATCTTCATTCTCATTTAAATTGTCCTCACTGTCATCATCATCTTCTTCATTCTGATCTTTCCTCTTCCTATTAAGTTTTCTATTTTGATCAGAGGAACCATTTGCAAGTGAACCCTGTCCCCCTTCAGAATTCATCAACTGATTCTTGTCACAGTCATCTCCACTGTCCAAATTGTTATTATCTCTAGGATCAACTTTCTTCCTCCTAATTACATGCTGCCATATGTTTTTCAGTTCCTCGATTCTCACTGGTTTCAGAAGATAATCACAGGCTCCGTGGGTTATCCCCTTCATCACCGCTTGGGTTTCACCATTTGCTGAAAGCACTGCAATTGCAAGTATTATGTGATTACTGCATATTATTTACTTACTAAAGCACTGCTAGAAATTGAGACAAATGGAAAACATAAAGGATCAGATTCTTCCAAGATATGGGATACCTTTTCTACCGTCCAGAGACTATAACACCAAAAGCTAATTATGATTGGATAAGAATAAAATAAAAGTGTCAACATTAGCTGTCCTTTATACTAAATGGATAGCCCAAGCTGACTAATCCTCCATATAGAAAGGGCAATGCAAATTGGAAACCAGTAGATCCTCGTGTATTTAATTTCACGGTACTAGGTAACTGCATAGGGTAAAATAAAGCAACATGTGAGAGAGAGTGAGCTCTCACAAGATACGTATTACAGCATAAAGGCAAAGAGAACATAAGGTTACCTTGACGTAAAAAAGAAAGGACTTTATGCCCACCATCAAGGTATTTGAGACCAAAAGCTAATTGCTAGATGCTTCAAACTAAAGAAAAGATAACAGGTGAGCTAATCCTCTATGCTGCAAAGCAAAACAAAACATGATAAAGAGTCATGTCCTTGTAAGTAGGTTCCCTAATTTGCTGACAGATTACATTTTGCATTGCTTTGTCATGTTACTGTGTTGACAGAAAGTTCGCTCAATTCCTCCGCTACGAAAGCTTTCATGACAACTTGAAGATGACAAAGACAGTGTAAGGTTTAATTCTAGTCAAAAGAATAACTTTGCGTTTTTGCCGCAGAGAGCAAGCAACTAGATGGCTTCTAACTACTCGGAATAATTGACAACATGACTAGGAATCTAACAATTAGATGGTTCACAATTACAAGGAATAATTATCAACATGACAATTGACAAAGAGTCCCAAATACCTAAAAACCAAACAAAATTAGAGACTTACTAATGACTGGGAGATCCATTTCGAGACCCACGAGCTCCAAAAGCTTGAATCCATCCATATCCGGCATGTGAACATCACTAATGACCAGATCAAACTGATCCTTGTTCTCCCTCAGCATCTCCAATGCCTTGATAGCCTGATTTGTTGTTGTAACTGGAAAATTACAAAACCCCATGTTGAAAAACAATTTAAAACGAGGACCAGTTCCTTTCAAATAAAAAAGTTTGAAGGTATTTTTCTTCAGACTTTGATGTTCAAAACCCAATAAAGAAACTTATAATTGGGTTCCAATTCTGAACAGAGACCTCTACTAGGATAATGATATCAAATAAAAGAAATCTGCTTCGCTGAAGAAAAAGGCTGACAACTTTTTATACACATAACAGAAAACTGCAAAAAATAAAATAAAATCAAAGAGATTAAAACAGGAGTGGAAGCTAACCATGATATTGGCATCGAAGCAGCAGAGATTCCAGCACCTTCAGACAAGTAGGATCATCATCAACAGCAAGAACTCTCATCCCAATAGGGAACCTATCCCTTGATCCGCTCCTTTCCACTACGGTCATTTTTACTTCTTCAACTTTCTTCACAACAGAAACTAAACTCGAAAATAAACACGACCCAGATCACCAAATGCTCAGCAAAAGCCTTAAAAAGGGATTGAAAACCAGAAATAGCTCCAGCTGAAGCTCAAAAGTCAAAAGAGAAAAAGACCCAAATCAAATCAAGCAAGTATACGAGGAACAGAGCAACGGATGGCAAAAAGATTGGAACTTTGTGAGTAATCAAAGACTTTTGAGACTTGAAAACCCCTCTTCACCCACCAACTTCAGCTCCGACAAAACTCAGGAAAAGAGTCCTCACAGAAAACACAAAGATCAAAGAGGGAGGAAAAAGCTGGAATTTTTAGCTCTTGGGGAGCAAAAAAAAAAAGACCAGAGGAAATAAAGATGGGAGCTTTGAAAGGAATCAAAGAGGGTAGAGATTGAAATTGAGAGATGAGTATTGATGAAAGGAATGTTTGATGGGGTCAAATGGAAAAAAGCAATCACTGGGAGAAGAGGAGAGAGGTGGGGACCCCAATCCACAATCAAAAATGGGAACTTTTCTCAGTCTCTTTTACTTCCTTTTTAGAGTTTATCTTTGGGTTTATTTTCCTCAAATTTTCTCTAATTTCTAAAAGAATATGCATACGAAAGTTGGGGATTCGAGGGAGCCCTGTGTCATCAAATATATGCTGCAGAATTTTAACTGGGGGGTCATTCTCTTTGTAGATCATTTTTAGTCTTTAGTATTTCTCTATTTTTTTTTAAAATAGTTTTTTTAATAAATTAAACCCAAAGTTCTGTACATGTGAATCTTTTGAACACACTATCTTTCAGAATTAATATTAAATCTAAATATTCGTATTGAATTATTTTCAGACTGTGCTTTTGCTTCGACTGTTATGTGACGTCTAAGTTGATATATTTATTGTAAGTAGTTATATTTTGATCTGGGATGTTATAATTTTTTATAGAAATTTGTTTAAATTGTTTTAAGTAGCTATATTTGGATTTAGCCGTTAGAAAAAGGTTATATCTGGATTTAAGATGCCACAGTTGAGTTTAAAAATAAGTTACTACATGAGTATTTTGGGTTTAGGAACAATTTTAGAAGTAGATGGACTTAAAAATAAAACAAAATGAGACTTTGGAGTTGCTTTCTGGGGTTAGGAACAAGTAGGGCCTTCGAAAGGGACAAATTCTCCCTCAAAAACAAAACAAACCTAAATGAGGCCAAGGCGATGGTTTTGTGATTCCTTCGGTGTTTGGTAGCCTGTTGAGATATTTGAGGACATGATCATGTGCTCTTAGTCACCTCATTAGTTGCCAATGATGTTGAATCTTTCCTAATAAAATGTCCACCATTGACTTTTATCTAACATTAAGCTTGCTACTTATTGCATATCATATGGTTTTTTTGGAATCAACGTAGGTCAGGGTTATTTTGCAAGCTAAAAATTGCCAACCAGAAGGGCGATTGATGAAGGTGAATATAAACGAGCCTATGTTTTCCGTTCACTCTCTTTTTAGCTCTCGTATGTTTCTATCTCTTTTTTTCTTAACCATCGTCTTTGAGAAAAATGATAACTAGCGAAACGGTAGTCTTCGATTTCAGTGGGCTTTAGTGGCTTTGGGTGAGGATGTATGAGCATGGTTTAACTTTAATCACATATGAAGTCTATGAAGATATGTAACCTTTTTCATTTATTACTCAGAGCTAATATCAAAATTAACAAACAAAAACATTTTGCGATCAAAATATCTACTTACTAAAAAAACAAGGCCGATGCCCAGCATGATTTGCACATGTACTGGAGTGTCAACGTTGCCTCGGTCATGGCTCGTAAGGTTTTCAAGCATCCATCTTTTCAATGCCGACTCTAAAAGTGCTCATTAATGTCTATTTCATGTCAATACTTAGGTAGGTTCAGGTCGTAGGCTAGACCTGATTTTGTCCCCTCGTCACATTTGTGTCCCTCTCAGGACCAAAATTTAAAGCTACGATGATCAAATTATAGAAAAATATATACTTACCATCGTAGTCTTTAATTCCTTTGCAACATTTTTAGACATCCACCCGATGAAAATATCGATTCCATAATTCTAAGGAAAAGATTAACTAAGCTACACAGCTACACACGAAAGTATTGGTTCCTTCTACTTTTATTGAGGGAAATGCTTTTTGAAACCCTGCCAAAAGTGTTAAAAATATTACTTTTTGGCAGGCTTTCAGCCAAAATCTTCTTTTTCGAAGCGATTTTGGCTGAAAGTCTGTCAAAAAGTGATATTTTTGACACTTTTGACAGACTTTCAAGAGAGCATTTCCCTCAAAAATAGGGAACCAAACAGCCCCTTAGTGTAGTGTTTTAGGAAGCAGTTTGAAAAGACTCTGATTAAAAATTGTTTTTAATGTTTGTAGGTAAAGGGAAAAAACATAATCCATAATCTTCACTAATTTGGGGAAAAGGAAAAAAAAAAGAAGAAGTAAAGAACGAAAGAATTATCCTTTCATGAAATACGGCTGCCTTACTTACTTTTGAACCGAAGGGGAATGCATGTAGACAAATGAGGAGGCATGTTAAATCCCCACTCCAAATTAAGATAATCTCCGTTAAAATCACGTCTACGTTCGATTGCACCGTATCTAAAAGAAGATGCGAAGCAATTAAATCCCAATGATTTCTCAATTTACTGCTTTCCCCTCCGAAATGTTTCAAACGGGAGGATGGCAGTTTTGTGATTAAATGGAAACCACGGGTGTATTTTTTTGAATATGGTACTGTACGTATGTACGTATGCTCTGAGGTTTCGGTTACATTGATTGGGGGAACCTAGTGACATGATTTTTGGGATCCATAATTGGCTGGAATTCGGTGGGGCCCCCACGTGATAGTGGGCAGCGTTCGCGCGGCGATTGGAGGTTATCGGGTTCGGGTTGTCTGGAGACTGAAGAGATCCGGCACTTGTTGGAGGTAGTGGAATTATAACTTTCAGGAGCCAAAATTAAGGATCCGCACATGTATAGTATGAGCAAACAGGTGAAGTGTATTTCTCCATCATTTGTCCTGTGCGTGTATGTATGTAATATGATCTCACCTTTTATGCTTTTTCAAAGATTCTTTTTAAAATAATAGTCGTAATTGATGGTGGATCCATGGTTTTCTCTCAATCGTGTCCCCACACCACATACAATTTGAATGGGATTTCACATCAGCTATATACTCTAATTAGCACTGTAATAGAACAACCAATGTCATACATTATCATATGTCATATGCGTATATGTATTTAATAAGATCTCACCTAATTAGCACTATAATAGGACAGCCAGCCTCATACATTATCATTTGTCATGTGCATATATGTATGTAATAAGATCTCACCTTTTATACTTTTTCCAAAATTATTTTTTAAAAAATAGGCATAAGCGATGGTGGATTTATGATTTTCTCTCAACAGTGTCCCCACATACAATTTTAATGGGGTTCCACGTCAGCTACACTCTAATTAGCACTGTAATGGAACAACCAATGTCGTACATTATCATATGTCACGTGCGTATATGTATTTAATGAGATATTAGCCTTCATGCTTTTTTAAAAAATTATTTTAAAAAAATATGGTCATAATCGATGGCGGATCCATGGTTTTCTCTCAACGGTGTCCCCTTATAATTTTGCAGTTCATTAAAGCTAGCAAATTCTAGAATTATCCCCAGCAATGTCCTCCTTTAGTAATTAGAGTGACATCATTAATAGTTGATGCAAATTAACACCTACATATAATCATAAACTGTTTATATTTTTCCCATTTCCAGGATTAGTTACTTCCTGATATGCATCTTAGCTAGATGTTTAGTATAAAAGTTAACGTGACCGTTTCAAGTAGAATACCAATATAACACTAATTAATTTAATTAGTATGTAATTTATTTAGCATTATTAAGATGATGACGTGCACCTGTCGGCAACACGTTGATATGTCGAGGGAGCATACTGCTTTGCTTGGGGTGACGTGGCGAGCACCTAATGGAGAGTTCAGTAGGTGGGTCCCACGGCCTTTACACTGGGAGCAAAAGCACGTGGTGCACTGCTGTTTGGAACCTGGCAGCTGTACTTAGCTCTTTAATTGCACACCAGGGCCCGTTTTTGGTTTCCTAAGGGGCTGTTTGGTTATTTTCTAAAAAACCAAAAAATAGAAATGCAAACTAAGAAAACTCAAAAAGTATAATTTCACACATTTCCATCCTTAAAACTCACCCACAACGTCTAATAAAATATTATTTTTATCCAACAACTCATCCATCATATCAAATAAAATATTATTTTCATCCAACAACTCGATCATCCACCACATCTAATAAAATATTATTTTCATCCACAATATCACTCAACTCATCTCATCTCATATTTAAACATTACTCACATCATCCAATAAGATTGTGACAACTCATCTCATCTCATTAACATTTTATTTTTTTGTTTTCCTCCCAAAAAGCTAGGAAAACAATTTCCTTAAGTGTGAGTCACATCAATAATATAATGACAACTCATCTCATCTCATATATTTTTTTATTTTTAAGAAATAACCAAGCAAAAGAAAATAATCTATTACAAGAAATAAGTTTCTTATAATTTATTTCATTATTTTTTTCGCCAACCAAACAACATCAAAACAAATTTTCTTAAAAAATCACTCACATCATCCTATAATAAGGTGACAACTCATCTTTATTTATTTGATTTCCTTCTTTTTTTAGCAAACCAAACACTCCCAAAACAATTCTTTGATTTAATAGTTTTCCATTTCTTTGATTTTCAATTTTTTAGGCAAACAAACGGGCCCTAAAATCAAAGAAAAGAAAATAGGTACAAGGAAATCAATAAAATAATATTTTTATCTATTTTCATTCCTAAAACTCACCCATAACATCCAATGAAATATTATTTTTATCATCAAACTCATCTCCTTTCTTACCTTTAGGGGTTGTTTGTTTGCCTAAAAAAAAGAGGGAAATCAAAGAAAATGAAACCTATTTCAAGTTAAGAGTTTTTGGGATTGTTTGGTTGGCTAAAAAAAAGGAAATCAAAGAAATGGAGATGAGATGAGATGAGTTGTCACCTTATTATAGGATGATGTGAGTGATTTTTTAAGAAAACTTGTTTTGATGTTGTTTGGTTGGCAAAAAAAATAAAAAAATGAATTATAAGAAACATATTTCTTGTGTTAGGTTCTTTTCTTTTGTTTGGTTATTTATTAAAAATAAGAAAATAGATGATATGAGATGAGTTGTCATTATATTATTGGATGATGTGACACACACTTAAGGAAATTATTTTCCTAGCTTTTTGGGAGGAAAACAAAGAAATAAAATGTTAATGAAATGAGACGAGTGTCACAATCTTATTGGATAATGTGAGTGATTTTTAAATATGAGATGAGATGAGTTGAATGATGTTGTAGATGAAAATAATATTTTATTAGATGTGGTGAATGTGATTGATAAGTTGT